AAGGTCCCCATTCCCCCCCCGCAAAAAAAAAAAAAAAAAAAAAAGAAAAAGAAAGGGCCAACAAATTGGATAATGTTAATGAATGGACAGATTCTTATCAAGACTAAACTATGAAGAAACAGAAGCCCTGGGTGGTTCTATAACCAGGACAAGACTGGATCAGTAATAAAATCTCCTTACAAGGAAAGCCCTGGACCTAATGGCTCCAGGGAGGTCCCACCAAGCATTAACGAGCTCACAGAATCACTTTCAGACATTTCCAAAAGGGCGGGAAGTTCCTAATATACTAGGAAAGGCCAGCACCACTGGACACCAAAGTCAGAGATGCTTCAAGAAGAGAAAACCGCAGGCCAACATCCCTCACTGACATGGATGCAAAAATTCTCCACAAAACCCAGCAAATCCAGTCCTGGGCACATGGGGAGGGGCATGTGCCATAACCGAGGGCTACTCCTGGGTGCGGAGCATATGCTGCGCCACGCCACACCCACAGTGTGGGGAACACCCCACCCGAGCATGTCAGCCAAGGCGGCAAAGGAGCTGGACAAAACCCAATGCCCCTTCGTGATAAAAACGCACAGCAATCGAGGAAGAATTGAGCTGCCCGGGCACCATGCAGGACACGCCTGAAGAACACAGGCCGACAGCACACAGCACAACAGCTCCTGCGTCCCCCAAGCCCCGACCAGCGGGCAAGGCTGCTTCTCCCATCGCTACTTGACCCAAACTAAAACAAGGCAAGAAAGAGACACAAAACCTGCTGTCTGGAAAGGAAGGTGTAAAATTTCCTGTGCAGATAAGGTGCTGCACATAGTAAACTGCACAGAACAGAAGTCTATTAAAATAGCAGCAAAGCAGCAGGACGCAAGGGAGCACCCAGAAGTCACCGCTCTCCTCTGCATGAGCAGTGAGCACTGAGGGAGGAAGCCACGAACAGACCCTCAGTGTGACCACGTTAAAGACAGCAAGGTGAGCAGGGCCAAAAGACGTGAGGAACACGGGGATGAGGTGGCCCGGGAGGGCCCCAGACAGGACCAACACCACACAGCTCTACTTGCAGGAGGCCTAGAGCTGCCAGTCACAGAGAGCAGAGCGCAGTGAGGGCGGATGAGCCTCGGAGCTGTACGCCTGGCCATGAAGAAGACCGCATATTTACGTGAACTTCATCACCGTAAAAAGGTTAGGTAACAGCCAGTTAGCGTGACGGACACCTTCTAGGGAGATGGAGGGCAGGACAGAGCTCCCTCCCGCATCTGCTGAGGACCCAGTCCCGTACACGCCGAGCCCAGAGGTCAGGACGACCCCAGTGCTGACAGGGCCCTGGGGAGAGACCTTGCATCCCGTGTGTCCATGGGGAGCAGGTGGGACACCCCGGCCTGGGGTGTTCTGCAAACCCCACCATGAGGGCCAAAGGTGTTTACACGTTCCGGGAGGACGCAGAGTCCCTGCGGGCCCGAGAGCTCCTCCCACTGACCACCAGAGTGCAGACAGAGCCACCTCGCCTCTGAGATCAGCTGCATCGAAATGGCAGCTGGTGAGGATGAGGGATGGGCCTCCGCTGGTGGGGCGACGACAACTGGCTCTGCAACAGTCGAGGCTACGGCAGGCAGGGGTGTCAAGCGCCGGAAGGACCCCGAGACCCAGGGCCCCACTCCCGGGTCCACACCCACAGGAAGGGGCGCCTGCACCGCCATCTCACCGCAGCACCTGCCCCAAGGCCAGAAAGAGGAATCCACCCAAGTGTCCTCATGGATGCCGGGGCGAGAAAACCTGCCAGACAGGAGCGCGCCTCCACGGAGCAGGAAGGGAGGCTCAGCCTGAGGGCGGACAGCCTGGAGAGCACAGTGCCTGTGCCGGTGAGCCAAGAAGGACAAACCCCACATTCCCATCGCTAAGACAAAGTCACCGACAGGAGGAACCACTGATCCGAGATCTGGGGACAGGGCGTCCCGCCACAGGATGGGTCTGCCACTTGCCTCGACAGTGGGGAGACAGTGGGGAGTGTCCGCAGCCCACCCAGCCCTGGACCCGACCCCGTGGGGCCGGCCCTGTCGTCACAGCTGCTGCAGCTGGGCAGAGGGAGTCTGTGGGAAGCTCAGTCACGTCATAAAAGTGTCTGCAGGCTGCCAAGCGTGAGATAGCACCTGGGTATTTTCCACGCAGGAGTCTTGTCTCCTTCTTGAACCAAAGTTAAAGAGAAACCTTCAGTTAACTGAAGCGTTCCGAAGAGTAGTAATGCTCCTAAGGCCCGTGCTGACTGAGGGAGCATGGGGCAGCCAGGCCGCACCTGCACAGGAAAATGACACTCACCTCTGGCCAGCACTCGGGGGGGCCTCCTGCCCCTGCTGCCGCCATTCCCAAGGCCCAGCACCCAGGCCCCCACGGTACTCCCAGGCTCCTCTCAGGGGCAGCCCGGGCTTCCTGGAGGCAGCAGCAGGCCAGAGAGCAGCCCATGTAGCTGGGCGTGGGTCACCTCAGCAGCTGTGGGAGGATGGTCATGGGGGAGCCTGGGTGCAGCACCCCTGCAGGCCCAGGTGTGCAAGACCAGCTGTGCACAGTGTGTGCAGGACCAGGGGAAACGTCAAGCTCATAAGCGGAGGGCCTGCACAGGAAAGGGCCCAGGGTGCAGGTCCCTGCCGAGGGCTCCTCCTCTCCACCCAGCACCCCCCTGACCACACCGGCTGGTGTCACCACATGAAGACCAGAGTCCAGTGCTCTGGCCCCAGGACCTCACAGCCACCTCCGAGGGACCAGGCACCCAGGTCCCTTCCTGTCCCGCTGGCTCCTCTCTCTCCTGCCTCCCTCAAGTGGGGTGACAGTGTCTCACAGGAGAGGGGGCCGCCCTACGGAGGACCCGAGGACGGGGCCTCCCTCCCCTTGCCAGCCGCGTCTGGGAGGTCCTGGCCTGATGATGTATGCCGCCCCCTCTGGCCTGGGGGACACAGACCATTAAATTGACGGAAGAGCCCCCCAGGGCCCTGCTGGGGACATGGCCAACGAATCCAGATGTTCCCTGAAAAGTCCCTTTCAGGCGCCACTGGCCAGCTGGCTGCAGTGGGAAAAACTCCTCGCCCACGCTGCCCTGCCTGGGCCTGGCCGGAGTGAGGGCTGCCTGGAGCCAGCCTAGCCTGAATCCCATGTGACTGGGCCCCACAAATGTGACTCGGCTTCCCAAGCTGGACCCTGGGCTGCAAGGGCAGAGTCCCCATCCCACCTCCCTGCCTGGCCCAGCCAGGCTCCTTGGGAAGGAGGCCGGTTGTGCCTGAGCTGCTCGGGCCTCCCACAGAATGGCTTCCCGTGGGAGGTGGGGCCCTGCTGGAGGCCTGGGCTGGCTTGGCCATTCCAGAGACAGAGTGTGTGTAGGTGTCAGGAGCAGGGCCGCATACACGCACAGACACACACATCACACACGTGCGTGCAGCCACCCAGCTCACACCCTGCCCTGCGGTTCAGATCTCTGCCCATGGTGGGGCTGGGCACCCTCAGCACCTGGCCCTGCCCTGCTCATCAAAATTGGCTGACGTGCTGGGAACCTGGCCCAGTGGCCCAGCTGCCCGGAATCCTGGTAAGTCCTACTCGGTCACTCACACCTGACCCAGGGCCAAGGCCGCTTGCACAGGTGCTGGGGTCAGGACACCAGGTCCCCAGGACAGTCAAGGCCGCCAGCCACACGCAGTGGGTGAGGAGGAAAAGCTGGACTGGCACCAGAAGAGAAAGGCGGCCAATACAGCTGCTCAGCCTCCCCCTCCTCCTCCTGGTCCCGCAGCCCCCAGCCAGCAGCAGCGACAGACCAGCGGCAGGGCAGGGTGCAGCCATGGCAGGCGGGGGCCTGGCGTAGTACAGTGCCAGGGCCTCGGGGTGCCCGGTCTCGAAGGCTGCCTGGGCCTGGGAGCAGCCAGACCTCTCAACCTTTCAAGAAGTCTTCAAGGCCCCTCCCTACCACCCTGGCTCTATGCCTCAGTTTCCCAGCCATGACTGATGGTACGGTGGGCTGACCCAGAGAATCACTATGAATCCCGGGGGCACCAGGTACAGGGTGTGCCCCAGTCACCTGACCTCAGCACAGAGCCTGTGCCTCATCCTCCCGGTGACATCCTGAGCATCTGCCACTGCAGCCTGCAGCCACATCTCCAGGCCCAGCGTCCTCCCTGCAGAAGCCCAGTGTCCACCGGGCAAGGCTGGGCTGCACAGGCCACTGTGGGCCAGCGCACCTGGCCGGGCACAGGGGGAGGGATGGGCGGCGTTACCTGCTGCCGGCCCAATGAACACACAGAGCCCGTCCTCCTGGGTACGCAGGGAGGCGCAGGCCACAGGCAGCTGGACCCCGTCCAGGCGGCTCCAGCATGCGTCCTCCACAGCCTCGCAGAACTGGCGGCAGGGCGGCAGAGGCAGCGGCAGGCCTGGGCTGCAGGGGGGCGCCAGCAGCAGGCAGAAAAACCAGGCAAGGAAGGGGTGGCAGTGTGTCTGCAGGAGGGCCCCCCATGCCTGCACAGCCACCTGCACCTCCTCGCTGCTCCCATGGTGCACGTGGTTGGGCAACCAGGCGTGCCTGATGCCCAGGTGGCCGCAGATGGACAGGGTGGGCGGCAGGGGCAGGCAGCGGCCGTCAGGCGTTGGGGGGCTGACGCCCAGCAGTGCAGAGAGGTTAGCGAGCCCAGTCCCCTCGGGAGAAGCCATGGGAGAGACCCAAGCACTGCCGTCCCTAGGTAAAGGTTCCACAGCCACCAGAGAGTGCCAGGCCGAGGGGCCAGCGGACAGAGCAGAGGGCGCACCCGTCACCAGAGAGAGCACCCGGCGGGAGTCAGGGCGTCCACGCTGCTGAGCACCAGCTGCCATGTCCAGGTCCTGGGGCCCCAGGGGCCTCTGGCTGCCGTGGGGAGGGGCCCTGCCCAGCGAGGAAGCGGGAGAAGCTCTACCTGGGAACACCGGGGTCACAGGGAACCCCCTCGGCGGCGCCAGGGATGGAGATGGCTGGGTGGGCACAGCCAGGGCACCAGCCTCAGCTGTCTGCGTGTCCAGGATGCTTGGGGCTCCGTAACCGGGCCGGAAGTCAGCCTTGTCCTGGGGGTCGCTAGAGGGGCCAGTGAGCATGCGCAGGTCAGTGGGGGCCACAGTGCCAGGCGTTCCCACCGACGCAGCATCGTCCCACAGCCGGACGAAGCTCCGAATGCCCTGGGCCACGTTCAGGATCCTGGCACCCACGCCCGCGACATTCTCCTCCTTCCTATCCTGGCTTGCGGCGGAGGCGGCCTGGGAGGTGGGGGTGACGTGGGCAGCAGGGTCCTCACTCCAGGCAGCTGTCTGTCGCTCCGAGGCCAGCTGGGTGCTGGTAGGGACCGTCCTTGGCTCTGGGGACCCATGCTGGGAGGCCACGTGTGTGGAGGGGGCCTCTGTGGGCTGCAGAGACGGACGGCTCTGGGGCTGGGAATCCGGCCCGGCAGTGGAGTCACTGATCTTCGAAGACCATAGCCAGTCCAGGGGCAGCAGGGTGGCCTGGGCAGGCGCCAGGCAGCAGGCGAGCAGCAGCAGTAGGCGGAGGCATCCGCTGGGGTTGGGAGCCATCAGGGCTGTGCTGGCTCTCCAGGGGCAGGGCAGCCTCTGCCATCGGGAGGAGGGGCTGACGGCTCCGCCCTCACCGCCTCCCCACAGCCTTTACAGCCTCTGCCGCAGAAGGGAAGCGGCCCAGCCCAGGAGCCAAGGTGACCACCACCGGCACCTCCAGATCCACACCAGGGCAGGGGTCGAGGCGCTCAGGAGTGTAGGCGGCGGCTCCAGCTCAATCCGATGGCCGGCAGTGCTGGCCAGGGAGCTGCAGTCTCTGCCTGGAGTGTGTGGGCTTGGGGGACTCAAGCCAGGACCAAGGCCCTGGGGACACCAAGGCAGCAGCTGGCCCAGCTTCCCACAGCCCAGAAAGCCGGAGTCCTGGCCTGGGGCCACTGCTCTGCGGTAAAACTAGAACTCACAAGAAAAGCTCAACGCCTTGAGATTCCAGTTCCGCTCCAACTGCTGCCTCAGAGGCGGGAAGGGGAAGTGTGGGGCTGGTCCCATCGTCCTGTCATCTCCCCAGGCCCAGCCTCCCGCTCAGACCGGGGACCTGAGGGCCACCCCTCCTCCCCGTGCCTCCCCAGGACTTTGGCCTGCCGGGTCCCACTGGCATCTCTGAACTAAGTCTTGGGCAATGCTGGGCCTGGCCAGCTGTGTAGAGGTGGACACCAACACCAACAGGAAGGCAAAAGCTCATCCTCAGGCTTGAGCCGGGTTCCTGCTGGCCCCGGACAGCAGCTGGGCGCCACGCCTTCTGGAAGTGACAGAGGTGTGACCATCCTCTCCTGCGAGGGGAGAGGGGTGATACGCTGTCACCTCCCACCCTCCTAGACTCCCCGGGACAGGCAGCCACCGGAGGGCCGGGGTGGGTGGGTCCCCGGGTCAGGAGCCGAGTTGCAGCCCCACACACGGTGGAAGCTCCAAAAGGGGTGCCACTGGCTCCTGTGCAGCCTCGCACTGCAGGTCTGGGAGGCCGCGGCTGAGAGCACAGGACCCATCGCTCGAGGTGCCCGGAGTGAGAAAGGCTGTTTTCCTGGAGCCCAGCCATCCAGGGGCAGCGGGCAGCTGAGCAGACATAGGGTCTTCGGTGGGAATTTTGGTGGCGTTGTTTTTGCAATACTGGGGATTGAACCCAGGGCCTTCACAAGAAGCTACATCCACAGCCCTTTTAAAAATTTTAAATTTTGAAACAGGGTCTCACTAAGTCACCAAGTTGCCCACGCTGCCCTTGAACTTGTACTGTGATCCTCCTGCCTCAGCTTCCCACAGTGCTGGGATGACAGACTTCTGCCACCATGACTGGTTCCATTTGAAGTTGTAAATAGAAATAAATGTGCAAATCACGAGATGGACTAAAGCCGCTCTAATAGCTGAGTGTTCTGCATTTCTGTGGGGTGTTCTATCCCCGACCTCTGAATTCCTGGCACGCCTCCCCACCTGGTGCCCATGACCCTTCCCACTGTCCAATTTGGGCAAAGCCTGCTGCCCTCCAGAGACCCTGAGAGGAGGAGGCTGCACAGAAAGAAGCCAACACACAAGCAGGCTTCAGAAGTGTTCCCTCCCCAGAGGCCATGGGCTGGGCTTGGGGACCTGCGGGCTGCCTCACCCCGACTCTTCCCCAGCCCCAAGTCCAGGTGGGGATCCCAGGAGAGCCCCTCCCTTCCTCCCCACTCCCTTTCCGGCAGCCACTCTTCCTGTCACTGCTGCAGAAGGGAAGCAGCCCGGACCCAGGAGCCAAGGTGACCACCGGCACCTCCAGATCCACACCAGGCCAGGGGTCGAGGCGCTTGGGGGAGGGACAGGTGCAGCCTCTCCAGGTCATGTCCCTCGCCACCGACCACTGCAGCCTGGAGCAGCCCAGGGGCTCAGCCTCTACCCAGGAAGAAGCAGCACCTCATGTGCCAGTTACTTCCTGCTGAGCTGAGACACACCAGCCTGCCCAGCTCTCGGTCCCAACGGACACGGTGTTGCTCCGGTGTCCGGGCCTTGGAGTGTGGTCCTTGGAGAGGGGCAGGTGCCTGAGCTGCTGCTGCTTCAGGAAGCCAGGAGGGTCTGGGACCAGGGTGCTGGGGCCCAGGTGCCCCGGGGGCTGGAGCAGATTCCACACCTCCTACGGTGCTGGCCTCACCGGGGTACAGCCTGGCTCCCTACCTGAGCACCCATGGGGCAGGAGGAGCGCCGGTTGCCACCTCAGCACTGACCCTGCTGAGAGTCCCTCCCTGTACCTCAGTTTCCTCATCCACAGAGGACCTGGCTGGACAGGAGCAGGCTGCCTCCCCGAATGCCCCTCAGAATCAGTGATGCCTTGGGCCACGTGCAAAGCCCAAGTCCCAGTGGAGTGAAACCCCAGGGCTGGGTGCCCCAAATGGAGAAACTGAGGCATGGGTTGAGTCTACCTCAGAGCATAGGGCCAGGAGAGGTGGGGCCAGGCAGCAATGGGGGTCTGCACTCACATGTGTGCACACACTCATGGTCACACTCACAGACAGCACTTGCACGTAGTATTTGCCACACTCCACCCAGCACAGCTCGAGCCCTGCCCGCCTCCTCCCCTCTGCCCAAGTCCCTCCTGGCCGCCTTCTGTAGGCAGTGGGGCCAGCGCCAATATCGCCTCCCAGCCGGGTTCTGCAGCTGGGCTGCAGCTGTGATGAAACAGCCCCACAACGTGTCCCCAACTGTGCCTGCGATACAAGGAGACATGCATTGATCGCTGGTCAAAGGGCAGGGCTGAGACCCTGGGACCAGGACAGCATCCACAGCCAACCCTGGCATCCCTGCACTAGAATGCACCCTGGGATGCACAGAGTGGTCTCTGCAGGAAATGCCCTGCTGCTAATGCGATTTTATGCCACAGCGCAGAAACTGCAGATGCCTCCGGGCTCCGGAACTGAGAGGGAACACAGATCCTGCCCCTCATAACTCACACTTGGGGGGGCTGCACTGGTGACTGGGTGCCACACAGTTGCTCCGGGCCCCCGCCAGCCGGCCCTGTGTTCACATTCAGTGCAGAATCAATTCTGGAGCACCCCGCACAGGAAGGAAGGCACCCAGGCTCCAGGACAGAGCCCCACCAGGCGTGCCCAGCACCACATGCATGAGTGCCCATGCCTGGCACACACACGTGCACCCATTCCCCCTGAGCACATGCAGGCTCAGAGAGTACTTGGGTGTAGACTGGGTTCCAGTCAGCAGTGGAGCAGGTCAAGCTCCTTACCCGCCCCAGCCCTGTGCCCATCCTCTGTGCCCTGTTTGTGTCACCATCTGTGTGCTCAAAGAGAGGTGCCCATCACAAGCAGCACAGCCTAGACACTGTAACCGCCCCCTTTCTTGCCAAGCCCGGAGAGTTTCCTGCAGCCCCAGGCTCAGGGAGGGACAGGGCAAGTGGGGGAGGCTGGGCTCCAGTGATGGGGATCCCCAACTTGCCCCAGCTCCCTCATCCAGAGGGAGGATTGGGAGAACAGATCCTACTCAGGCAGAGGACCCCACGAGAGAGGAAACGGCCAGTGCCAGGTGCCGTCACAGCTGCTTTCCAGTCTGCATGTGAGTCTGACCTGGGACTGATGCCACTCTGTCCCCCCGGCAACCTGACTCTGTTGCTAGGCAACAGTGCATAGTAACTGGCTGTGTGGCTGGGACACTAACAGTGTACATAGGAGCCCACACAGAGAGCCCCACAGTGTGGACCTGGAAAACAAGCTGCCCACCACAGTGGCCTGGGGCACAAAGCCCAAGAAAGCCACCCGGCCCCTGGACCTGCTGCCTCATGCTAGCAAGGTCCAGAGTCTGGCTGCCCAGCTGCACTCTGCCCAGACCCCTCCTGGGTCAGCCGTGTAAGTCCCAAGTCCGGGCACCACCTCCTTGAGACCCCTGAGAGAACTGCACGTCGTCCCTTGGTCTCCAGGTCCCCTGAAGCCACCATGGCTGCCCCCCACCTGCCACGCTGGGGGAGCAGAGAAGCTGTGGAAGAGACGTGGATGGATCTGTTTCCAGAGGAGCCAGGCAAGCACTGATCTGGGGGTCAGCACAGGCAGCCAGGCCCTCTGGGATGGCCACCAGGAGTCTCTGGGAGCTGGGCACTACTGTGGCAGGGGCCCAAACTGGACTGCGCTGTTTATGCAAGGGTTACCACTTGGCAAACTCCCAACACCCCAGACTGTTCCTGTGACCCCAGTGCTCCAGAGCGCGTGGCTCCTACACCCCGGCAGCTACCACACCTGCTGCAGGCCTGGGTGCCTGCCCCAGGACTGCTCTCCACCAAGCACTGGGGTGGGGAGGGCCCAGCAGCCCCGCAGGTGTCCTGACCCCCAGTGCACCACCTGTCCCAGCTCCACAGCTCCTGCAGCGGAGGTGTGCCTGGCCCAGCCGGGGTCTGTTCCGTCTTGCGGGCTGGTGGCTCTGGATCACTGAATGGTGTGGTTGTTCACTTCATTAAAACACCTAGAACACTCACACCTGAACGGGGCACGCTGGCTTCCCAGGCACAGGTGTCAGGGAGGAGCGCCTACCTGGTCTGAGCGGGCCCAGAGCCTGGGTACATGGGGAGAGCACATCCAGCAAAGATGTGAGCCTGCAACCTCCCCACACTGCTCTGGAATCCACTGGTGGGTGACTGTGCTACACTTCTATCGCTGCTGGACTCTGACTCATGGCCACTTTCCAGGCTGCGATGACAATGGACCGAGTCTCCTGCGGTGCCGCCGAGGCTCTCTGCTGGGCTGCGGCTCAGGAACTGCTCTACAGGGCCAGGATGACTCACCCCACCCTCGGAGCCCAGCCACTGCTCTGAAGCACACAGAGGCAGCTGGGGCCTGGCACCTCCTTCACCTGGGTCCCCGCCCAGCCCCAAGCACCCCGGGGAGCACTGCCACACAGTCTGATTTCTAACAGGACACAGAGAAGAGCCGGCACAGCCACCCCTCCTGGAACAGCCTGAAGGTTCCGCTCACGGTTCAGGCCCGTGCTCACGTCAGACACACGTCCCGGGCAGAGCCCCAGGCCACAGGTCCCCACTACCTGACAGGACACAGGGGCCACCAACCCCAAATCCAAATTCTCCCTAGGGTGACGGCAAATCAGACAGAACCCAGGCACCGCGGGCACTCGGTGAGGTGGGCCCCGCATGACCCCACGGGCTGAGGGCTTTAGAGAGCGGAGAGCACAGGACTGGGCTCTGCAAAGCCCCAGCCTCACCACGGCTGCCCTGGAAGGGACAAGTGCGCGGAGGGGACAAGGGCACGAGTTCCAGGGTGGGGGTCCCTTTCTGTCTCAGCATCTGCGGCCTCCCCTCCGCACACCACATGCCCAGCACTCCCAGCAAAAGCCGATCCAAACTCAAGGAGGCACCTGGACTCATCCTGGTTTGGGACGCAGTGACTCTTGGCGGGACTCCAGAGACACAGGAA